CTCGACACAGGGAAGACAGGGAGGAGCAGGCGAGGGTGGGAGGGGAGGGAGGACACCGTGCACTGCAGCGACGAGTCCCAGGATTTTGAGTCCGCTGGGGGTGTGACGGTTCAGCAAGGGATCCTCGCGATAGACTGCTTCGTCTCCCGCTTCAGGATCAGGTGCGAATCCGGGGCCGTATCGTTCAGAGATGTCGGTGTTGACGGGTTGGGGTGTAACGTAACCAGTGTCGGCGAAATGGTAGTAGACGTCGGCATTGTTGCTGTCGCGAGGATTTTCCTCGTCCATGGGGATTGGGACGGAACAGTAGGGAAGGGGTCCAGCAGCTTCGGAGGCGCCGTCGACGTTTTCTTCTTCCCAGTCAGCAGCGTCGGAGGGTGAAGCGAAGGCTTGGGAACCAGAAAATCCGCCGGTGGGGTCGACGTGGCGTGCGATGTTGTCCAGGTAATGGTTGAGGGTGAGTCGCTCGTAGAAGATAATGTCACGTGCTGCTACTGTTTCTTTTGTGTGGACGTCGAAGATTCGCCAGGCTTCGTAATGTTTTGCCAGCCCGAGGTGTAGACCCCACTGTGCACGTTGCGAAAATCTCCCTGCGCGTGCAGTGTGTGGGCGGTACTGTACCATACACCCAAAAACTCGTAACATTTTTGTGTTGCCCAGCTTCCCAGTCCACAACAGGTGCGGAGATGCGTTGTTGGGCAGTGAAGACGAGGACAGCAAGTTGTGCAGGAGGACAGCGTGGTCCATCGCTGCTGGCCATTCCGAGTTGGGCAGTCGAGTTCCACGTAGCAGCTTTCACATGGTTTTCTGCAGGGTCCTGTTCATCCTTTCTGCCACACCCTGCTGTTGGTGAGCGTAAGGAAGAGAGATGAGGCGTTTGATGCCTCTTTCTGCCAAGAACTGTTTGAAGCGATGTGACTGGTATTCCATCGCGCCATCTGACTGAAAACTCTTCAGTTTTACTCCCGAGTCTCTTTTAGCGACAGGTAGCCAGGCTGTGAAGGCTTCTAGAGCCATGTCTCTTGACGGTAAGTTGACGTGCCAGACATATCGCGTTGTGGCGTCGATGAAGGTGATGACGTAGTTCAGATCTTCACGTCCTTCAGTTCGAGGTATGTATAGTATGTCGCTGTAGACTTTCTCGAGTGGTTGATAAACGGGGGCGCTCGGATTGTGGTGTGACGGGAACGGTTGGTGAGGCAGATCTGCTTCCGGGCAGATGAAGCAGGTGCCGCGTGGTCGTTCGAGTTCACGTCCGTTGGGAAGAAGTAGGGCGTTCTTGTCTAACACTCCGGCTCGTATTGTGTTGTAAAGTGTTTTGTTTCCAGGATGTCCGAGACGTTGATGCCAGATGTCTTCGGAGGCGCTGTGACCGACGGAGCGTTGATAGAAGTCTGCGTTGGCGAAGAAGGCGGCGTGTGTTGCTGCACTTCGATGAGCGGCGCGTGGTACTGGTGTTAACTGTTGGGCGGCTGTCGGTGGCATGTCGATGATGAGAGGTGGTGGCGTGACGGAGGGACCGGGCTGTGGAGTTTCGGAAGGTTGTTCCGCGACGACGGTTGGTTCTTCAACTGCAGGTTCGGTGGTTGTTGGTGCTGTGACGGGTGCAGTTGTAGTTTCGATGACGAGTGCTGACTCAGGTGTTGTTGCCTCTGTTTGCAGGACGGCAAGCGCGTTGGTGCGTTCAGCTTCGGGAATGGTACGAGAGTACCAGAAGCCTTCAGGACTGAAGTTCGGGTCGAGGTCTAGCGGATGTGTCCAAGGTGCGAGAGCGACTATGCCGTCGCTGTCTGCGGTGTCTTTGTCGGGGACGAAATCGAGGACGAACAAGTCATCTTGTTGGATTGCGCGGCCGATGAAGACCCCCCCTTTTCCGTGGTGAAGACGGATTTCCCGGGCGTCGGAGTCACACTCCAGGTGAATGCCTTTCGACATGAGTTGGTTGACGCTCAGTAAGTTGAAGCCGAGGTTGTCGACGACGAGTACTTTGTTTAGTTGAAGGATAACGTTTGTTTCGTTTGACTGAAGCTCCACGACTCCTTGTTTGTTGGTGCGCTGGTTTTCGTTGTTGGCGACGGTGATGATGACGTCTCGCGGAAGACGTCGTTCCCGCTGAAGAAATCGTGATGAAGAGCACATGTGATGACCGCAACAGCTGTCGAGGAACCATGTGTCTGGTCCGGTGGGTGCACTGTTCGCGATGGCGGCGTACGTTGGATTCACGTTAAGAGACGACGGTGGTGGTGACGGTTGCTCATCAGGACTGTAAGTCGGTGGTGAGCCGGTAATACACGAGTCGATGTTTGACTGTGTTGTTCGTGCCATGGCGACGATTCTTGATGTCTGTGCAGGTCCCGAAGTGGAAGTTGACGGTCGCGTTGAAGTAGTCGTTGAGGCGGTAGCGGGTCGTTGTTGAGTTGACGCGATGTGGGGAGGCGCGGGTCGCAGAGGACGAGAGAATGGTGCTGGTTGTCGTTGTTGCTGAGGGCAGTTGAAGCGTGTGTGTCCTGAAGTTCGACACAGATGACAATAAGGAGGTACGTGTCCTCGATTTTGGTAACGTGGCTGTCGTCGGTTGGTGTAAAGAACGACTGGTTGATGATGCCTTTTGTTGTTGCGTTCTTCGAACAGGTCCATTTCCTGCTGCTCAGCGTGAAGTTCGGCGCAGAGATGCATTTCGGAGAGTCGACCGTGAGCGCGAAGAAGTGAACAGGTGGTGCGCCATTGAGGTCCAAGGCCGGCAAGAACGACGGTTACGAAGGCTTCTTCAGATAAGTTTCCTCCGCAGCGAATAAGTCTGTCGCGTAGTCCTTGACAGCGACTGATGTAAGGCATGGCCTTTTCTCCAGGTTGCATTTGAACTGTTGTCAGTTGTGCCATGAGTCGGCTTTGTGTAACGCTGTCGGATGCTTGATGAATGCTTCGCAGATGTTGATAGGCGAGTTCCGCGGAGTTTGCGTAGTTCCGGTAGGCGCGGATGCTTTGTTGTTCGTTCGGCGACAGGTTTCGGAGAAGAACGGTGTAAGCCATCAGGGAGTGATACGTATAATTTACTTTGTCTTTGTCTTCGCCGTTGTGTGGATATGGCCAGGTACCGTTGAAGAATCCAAGAAGATTCGCGCCTTCCATCAGGAGTTCAAACTCGAAGCTCCAAGAGTAGAAGTCCTTCTCGTTGAATGGTGTGGATGTGTGCAGTCGCAGGATGTTGTTGAACTGTGCTTGTACTTGCAGGACTTCTTCGGTGTCTCGTTTGATGGCGGGAAGAGGGGTCGCTGGATGGCGAGGCGGCATGAACGTGAAGGAACCAGGTGAGACAGAATTTGGTGTTTGTTGATTATGTCGTCCGAACGATGAGTTGTCAATACTCATTGGTGCCGCTCCATTGTATACGCTGTTGCTGTTTGCAGGTTGTGAGGACTGCTGCTGCGACATGAAGTTGAAGAACTCCTCCATTAAGCTTGGGTTGAAGATTGTTGGCGGCGCTACTGGCGCTTGAGTAGAACGTTCCGTCGCTTCCGGCGTTAATCCGGGCGTTGTTCCTCCTTCGGTCTGCAACTCGGAGACCGGGGGTAGAGTAGATCCCGTAGATGATCTTCTTTCTTTGCCACTTGCCATGTCTTGTCTTTCTTGAATGAAGATTGAACTTCTTGGTTGCTTGCAGATCGGTAGCCTGGAAGAGGCTTAGTGACGACGGCCTTTGTTCTCTGACTGCTCTCATACCATGTTGGGCTGAGGATTTCAGCCTTAGGATCCTTGCAGAGAATAGGCTAGTAGGTGCTAGAGTAGCACAGCGGAAGTCCTTTGAGTGAATGTACTTGTGCTGGTATGTGAGAACAAGTAATTGATTAAAGCAAAGAGCATACAGGAATATATAGGAAAGATAGATTACAGGAAGCGGTTATGTTTATCGAGACGCGTAACGCTTCGACTATCGAGGTGGTTACTGTTCACTGAAGCGTCGCTTGCTGTTACGTAACCTCCAGGCGGTTACAGCTCGCAACCTCCAGTTGCGGTTTGATGTGGTACGCGCCTTTTTCGACTTCATACCCCTTTTGTTGTGCTTCAGTATCGGGTGAGGTTCGATACTACAGAAACGCACTAAGTCATGCGTTTATATTCCCAACAAATTTGAAGAAAGGGTAACTGTACTGTTAGCCTGCCTTGATCAGGGTAACTGAAAAAAAGCGGCCTACAGAACGGGCAAAAAGGGTATTTTACCCTGATATTTTGGGCCCTGCTGGTGGACTAATTTCCCAGCATGAGAGAAGAAAAGTGTGCGTACACTCATCAATGGATGACTCGAACAAATCTATAGCCTGTACAGCTTACAAAATCACCATCTCAACTACCGCTCTGTATGTGCACAGGTCTCCCAAACTCAAAAGCCGACCACATTTGCTAGAGAAAAGAACGACTATTCCCTTCCCGAAACAGGCAAAATTTGATAAAAAAATATGACGTCCCCTTCTCCGACTGCATAGTACAGCGGCAGGCTGACTGCAACGGCCCAAGAGCAGCACCTGGAGGTGGAGGAACAGCACCTCCACCACTGACCAGGGAGTTACCTGCTTTCCATGCACCCGCATCGCCGCATCAACATCCAGTCTCTTACAATCTCGGCTCCAAGCGCCAAACTGCCAAGAAGGAACCCTCCTGGAATGGAAACCCCTTCACACCATCATCTCCGCAGCTGTCGCACCTCCCCCATCCCCGTCAACCCTTGGACTGGATGCCAGCTTCAGTCAGAATCTGCACCCCATGCAGCAAGCGCAGCATAGGGCGCAATGCATCCCGAATCGACTCAAAAACTAGACAAGACCTTGCCAAGTCACTCCCTCATCCTCTCTGCCGCACCTCCCTTACCCCCATTGACCTCTGTGTGCTCCCCTCGACTACCCGCTACAGTCAAGCTCGTGGCACCCCGGGTGGCAAGGGTAGCGTTGATGGTGGCTAGGGTGTGCTGGTTTTCTGTCGGCCAGATAGTTACCAACGAAAACCCTTCATTCCATGATATCCGTTGCTTCATCTCCCCCATCTCCATCGCCCCTTGTGTCGTCACCTTGACTGCCCCCTACAGTCAAGCTCGCAGCATCCCGGGTAGCAAGGGCAGCATTTATAGCGTCCAGGGTGTGTTGGTTGTTGCTGTGAATTGCCTCGTCCACTGGCGTGCGCTCATGGCTGGCGGGATGGGGGTTGGGATGAGGGTTGCGGTTCGGGGGTAATCGAAAGGAAGGTGGGGGGAACACGAAATGGAGAACGGCAGGTGGGAGAGCTGTCACGCTCTGCATGTGCTCGCAGCCCGGGGTATGATCGGACGTTTATCCCATTGACACAAGACGACTGCATGGTAACATTGGATGTAGGTAGCAAAGTCAGAGTGTGTGGACATTGGATGCAGGATGGTGTGAGGAGGAGTGTGAGGGGCGGAAGTGGGTTACCTGTTGAGCGCAGAGGGGCTCGCTCCTGCAGCAATGAGCAAATGCACCATCTGATGGGGTGGGATGGAAAGGAGTGTGGTGTGCAATGGTGATGATGCATGGCAGGGGACACAATAATGTATTGGTTTCACTGTTGTCAGGGTGCGGAACACAATGAATTTCCTTTTGAGAATTCTCAAAAATGATTTCAATTTGGCTGCAGCCCCATCTGCCCCCTGCGCCCCCCTGCCCCTCACGCAGTCCGACCTATTGCCACTTGCACTCACAGAGCACTTCCCATTCCCCTCTGCGCTCATCCCCACACCCACATTGCCCCCCTGCACTCCTTTCCACACCCCACAATGCCCCCTTGCACTCCTTTCCACACCCACAATGCCCCCCTGCACTTACAGAGTCCCTGCCATTGACAGCCGCCCAGTGCAGCGGTGTGTTGCCTTGCCGGTTCACTGCATTCACCGGCTGTAGAAGGCGTCCAGGGTGCAAGGGGTACAGGATGGGGCCAGGATTGGAAAGTGTAAGGCGTGCAGGATAGACAGGAAGAGATGCAAGGTGTAAGGCGTGTAGAGATAGGGACAGGGCAGGAGAGCAGCAACACAAGTAAGCGGAAAGGAAGGGTGCATGCAGCTCAGTACGTGCTGTCCTGCCGGATCACGGCATTCCCAGGCTGAAAGGTAGCCGCCACTCAGATAGGCAGGCAGCTTGGCGCAGAGAGGGGGACGGAGTGGCAAGGGGTTTGGGGGAAGAAGGGTGGGGCAAGGCGGGTGGGGGAAGGGGGGTGGGGCAAGGCGGGTGGGGGAAGGGGGGTGGGGCAAGGCGGGTGGGGGAAGGGGGGTGGGGCAAGGCGGGTGGGGGAAGGGGGGTGGGGAAAGGCGGATGGGCAATGCAAGAGACACTCACAGCGCCTCGTTGGATGAGCAGGCGGGCGATCTCCGTGTGGCCGTTGGCTGCTGCCATGTGCAGCGCTGCACACACATGCACCATGTATGTATGTATGGGACGGCATGCAGTGGTGAGCATGCATCATGTATGTATGTATGGGACGGCATGCAGTGGTGAGCATGCATGCATGGCACGGCACACACAGAAAGGGAGAGAATGAACGCCACTTCCCTTCCACTCTCTTCCCTAGCTCCCCTTCTCCCCACTTTGCGTGTGGAGACATGTGCATCCCTCCCTGCGCTATGGCATGCTGTGTAAGCAACGAAAGAGAGAGGGCGGCGGATGGGGAGGGGGGGTTGGGGTCAAATCTCCACAGCAAGCTCTGGCCCTTTGGACTCAGAACCACGGACTCTAAAACCCTGATCTGACACACGCATGCAACCTTAAGCCCCACCTGTGCGCCCCTCATCACCCTCCACTTGTGCGCCCCGCGTTCCCCATACTCCCCCCCCACCTGTGCGCCCCGCGTTCCCCATGCTCCCTCCACACCTGTGCGCCCCGCGTTCCCCATGCTCCCCCCCCACCTGTGCACCCCGCGTTCCCCATACTCCCCCCCCACCTGTGCGCCCCTCGTCATCTGCCAAGCCAGCATCCGCACCGCCGTCCAGTGCTGCTGCCACGTCCTCCACGTCCCCGTACCGTGCTCCCTGCACGTGGGGGGAGGAGAGGGGGGAAATTGCGGGGAGATCACGGGGAGACAAGGGGAGGACAAGGGGGAGACAAAGGGCAACGGTGGGGTTCCTGCAGCGTCTAATGCTCCTGCCACATCTTTTATGTCTCCATACCGCGCCCCCTGCACATGAGCGGGGAAGGAGACAAGGGGAGATTATGCGGAGATCGAGAACAAAGGGAGGACAAGGGGGAGACAAAGGGAGGACCGGATAACAGTGGGGTTTCTGCTGCCACGTACTCCAGGTCCCCGTGCCGCGCCCCCTGCACGTGGGGGGGAAGAGAAGGGAGATTGGGGGAAGAGGACAAGGGGGAGGCAAAGGGAGGACGGGAGAACGGTGGGCTTTTTGCAACAATTTAATCCTGCTGCTGCCACGTCACCCATGTCCCCGTACCGCGCCCCCTGCACGGCGGTTTGCCGGGGGAAGGGGAGTGTGGAGGGGAGATGGAAGGAGGCAAGGGGAAGACAAGGTGGAAAAAGGTGGGAGTGGGGAGCTGGGAGGTGGGGTTTGCAGATGCAATGCCAGGAGGACGAGGGGAAACGGCGAAACGGACGCCAAACGCGCGTTACGGGATGGGGGGCAGGGGTAGTTGGGGGAAACCGGGGAGACGAGGGGGACACGGAGGGGAGAAGAATTTGCACGTAAAATCTGCTAGATGTACGGGAATCCGTTTGAAGATCCTTCCACGCACCTGAACTAGTAGGTCCGCCAAGTCTTCCGCCGCTTCCGCCATCGCCGCGGGGGGCCCAGCCCCGTCGAGCGGCGCGCTGGGGTCGGCGGAAGAAGCGCATGGCGCAGGAGCGGACTCCGCGGGGGAAGCATCCTCCATCCTGTGCGCTTTGGAGTCGTCGAATGTAGCGATTCCCATCACTAGAAGGGTTCGCCGCTGCGCCGGCACAGACGCATAGATCGGGTCCGATGAACGAAACCAGGCGATCACGAATTGTTAGGGTTGGTTCGCCCAACCACGGAACCTACGGCGAAAGCTTCTACCACGGTGGAATGAAGGCGAAGGAAGCGTGTGGACTATTCCAGAGTGAGGCGGTGGAAGTCGGCCTACGGCGTGAGAAGCGGGAGAGGAATCGAGAAGAAATGTGCTAGGAGGAAGAGAAAAGGAGAACATCGAGAATGGGATCGACGGGGTAAAATGTGGTTTCGAAACCAAGGCGTGTTCGAGGAATTTCAAAATCTGACTCGAGTGTTCGGTGAATTCGGTTCCTGTGCACCTCGGGGTGTACAAGGCGCGCGCGAGATAGCTTGTGTTATGAGTTGTAAAAGAGAGTGCGCAGAATAACGAATAATGAGGCTGTGATTGAAAGAACTCAGAATACAATGAAGGCTCACACTAATGTAGTGGCTAGCCTAGTGTTACGAGTAAAATTGAGCGAGCGAGCTAGAATTGCAGTATCGAAGCAAAAAAACAGTACAATGAGCGAAGGCATGAGAGAAGCATATATAGCGAAGCTACAGTGGAAACGGTAATGTGTGAAATTGGGGTGCGCGACGAGCCTGGTGCCGAGGTTGGGAATTGTCGTGGCGAAGGTCCGGAGCTCGGGTTACCAACCAAACCGTGAGGTTGGGTCGCGGCGTGAATAGTGGCGGGAACAGTAGTCGAGGCGAGTGGTAACGGTGTACAGTTGGGTGCTGTTGGCGGGAACAATGGTGTACGCACTGAGCAGGGATACAAAGTGAGGAAAATGAATTTTCCTTACACCACTCCCCCCCCCCCCCTCCTAAGGAGGCCCTCCTTACGAAAGCGCGTGTACATCCCGGAAGTTGCGGCTGCGTAGGTACTCGGTGAGGATTGGGTGATTTTCAATCCTGTCCAGGGGAACCGAGTTATCTTCAGTGGGCGTGCGGACTTTCCAGCGGATCAGAAATTTGATCCTACGAGCTCCTCGTGGGTCACGAACTCGTTGGCTCAAGATTTTCTCGGGCGTGATCATTGGCTCTGTCGGCGGTCGTGTCATGCTGGGTGGGCGGTTGCGAGGTAGTTGGTTGGTCGATGGTACGTATGGGCGAAGTAGGCTGACGTTGAAGGACGAGCTGACCTACCAGTCAGTAGGGAGGAGGAGATGGGCGGTGACGGGTGTGGTCACGTGGCTGATGCAAAATGGCCCGCAATATCGAGGGCGGAGTGTCAAATTATAATGTTGTGTAGGCTGAAGTGGGGTAGCCTATATGGGGTACACATTTCTAGGGTTGCATATTTGTGCCACTTTCATTCCTTAGTGCAGTCATTCTCGTTCTAACTTTCTCATAGTATCAGAGCAGGTTCCCTAGTGGGAACTGTGCCTAGGGCCCACCACATCGAATTTGTTTTTTCCTGCCTGGAGCGCGCTCCGCCTGAGTCGCGCTCCTCTCTTTTCTCTCGTCGAGCCGCCCTAGCGGCCCCGTCGCCCCAGCGGCCCCATCGCCCTAGCGGCCCCGTCGCCTAGCCCTACGACCCCGGCGCCGCCCTGTCGCGGCCCCGCCGCCCTTCACTGCGGCCCCGCCGCCCTTCACAGCGGCCCCGCCGCCCTTCGCTGCGGCCCCGCCACCCTTCGCTGCGGCCCCGCCGCCCCTCTCACTGCGGCCCCGCCGCCCTTCGCTGCGGCCCCGCCGCCCTTCACTGCGGCCCCGCCTCCCTTCGCTGCGGCCCCGCCGCCCTTCGCTGCGGCCCCGCCGCCCCTCTCGCTGCGGCCCCGCCGCCCTTCACTGCGGCCCCGCCGCCCTTCGCTGCGGCCCCGCCACCCCTCTCGCTGCAGCCCCGCCGCCCTTCACTGCGGCCCCGCCACCCTTTGCTGCGGCCCGGCCGCCCCTCTCGCTGCGGCCCCGCCGCCTACCTTGCGGCCCCGCCGCCCTTCGCTGCGGCCCTGCCGCCCCTCTCGCTGCGGCCCCGCCGCCTACCTTGCGGCCCCGCCGCCCTTCGCTGCGGCCCTGCCGCACCTCTCGCTACGGCCCCGCCGCCTACCTTGCGGCCCCGCCGCCCTTCGCTGCGGCCCCGCCGCCACTCTCGCTACGGCCTCGCCGCCCCTCTCGCTGCGGCCCCGCCACCTACCCTGCGGCCCCGCCGCCCTTCGCTGCGGCCTCGCCGCCCCTCTCAATGCGGCCCCGCCACCTACCTTGCGGCCCCGCCGCCCTACCAGCGGCCCTGCCGCCCTACGCAAACGAGCCGCCCGCACCGCTAAGCAGCCCGAGCCGCCCGTTCTGCCCGAGCCGCCCGCGCCGCTCGAGCCGCCCAAGCCGCCCAAACCGCCCGAGCCGCCCGCACCGCCCAAGCCGCCCGAGCCGCCTAAACCGCACGAGCCGCCCGAGCCGCCCGAGCCGCCTGAGCAGCTGAGGAGCCGAGCCGCTGGTGCCGCAGAGCCGCAGTTGCTGCTGAGCCGTCCGAGTCGCCCGAGCCGCTGTGTTGCCGGGCTGCTGTACTGCCGAGCTGCCCGCACCGCCCTGTCTGGTGAGAGCAGCGCTTCTCTCACTGCACTGCCCCTGTCCTACGTTTAGTGCTGCTAGTCTACTACTATCATGGCTACCCCCAGTGTTCTCGCTTTTGGCGCTAAGGGTCGGGCCATTGACTTTGAGGTATGGGTAGATGACCTGCAGCTTTTCCTCTAGTGCGACAATGCAGACGGCCTCTCTCTCTTTGACCTCACCTCTGGTGCCTCTCCTGCCCCTGCTGCTGATGCTGACGCCACTGTTCGCTCTCAGTGGGCCACGCGCGATGCTGCTGCACGTCTTGCTGTGCGTCGCCACCTGCCTACCACTGAGCGCGCGCACTTTAGTCAGTACAAGAGTGCTCAGACCTTGTACGACGCTGTAGTTGCACGCTACTCTTCCCCTGCCACTGCTGCACTGAGCCGCCTCATGCTACCGTACCTCTTCCGTGACCTTGCTGCCTTTCCCACTGTCGCTAACCTCATGACGCACCTCCGCACTAGTGACACTCGCTACCGCGTCGCGCTTCCTGCTGAGTTCTGCGCCAAGAACCCCCCCCCATGTACATCACTCTTTATTATATCGTCACCCGCCTCCCTGACTCCCTTCGTGTAGTCAGGGACCACTTCCTCTCAGTCTGTCCCACCACTCTCACTGTTGACCTCCTAGAGAAGGCCCTCCTAGCCGCGGAGAAGAGCATAGTCGCTGTAGGAGCCTCTCGTGGTGACCCTCGCACCCCCATCTTTGAGGGGTGTTCCCCTTCCCCCCTTTTGCCCTCTGTCGCCTCTGCTGCTGCGACCGACCTCGTTGGTCTTGAGTCGGTCGGTGCGGCGTCTGCCCCTAGCGGGAGACACCGCTCTCGCAAGGGCAAGGGGGGCAAGGGCGCGGGTGGAGCTAGCGGGGGTGGTGGAGGTGGCGGTGGAGGCGGCGGAGGGAGTGGGGGTGGCGGTGGGAGTGGTGGCGGGGGTGGAGGTGTCGGTGGCAGCAGTGGAGGCGGAGGCGGGGGAGGCAGTAGCGGTGGGAGCGGAGGCGGCGGTGGTGGCGGAGGTGGAGGAGGCGGTGGTGGAGGAGGTGGAGCTGGTCGGGGTGGCGCTTCGCAGCGGAGCGGCTCCGGTGGTGGTCAGCGCCAGCAACAGCAGCAGCGTTCTCGGGACATCCCCCCCCTCAGTAGCTCCGTGAGTGGTACGCGCAGCGTCAGCGTGGTGGGGGTTTTGGTCCGTGCGCCTACATCCTTCGCACCAGCGACCGCGCGGGTGAGCAATGTGGGGGTGTCCACCCCACCCAGCGCTGCTTTGGCCGCCTGACGGACGCTTGGCGTCAGCAGTTCCCGGAGGCTACTGATCTTGGCGTGAGCTGTCTAGGGCGGGTGTAGCTATCTTTGATCTTGACTTTGATGCTATTCTTGCTGCCATGTATGCTATGACTATTAGTGATAAGGGTGACTGTTACCGGTGTCTCCCGCCCGACCTGGGCATTGAGACTGCTGCTCCAAGTACTGGTGAGGCTGCTGCTCTAGGTGCCAGTGAGGCTGCTGCTCTAGGTGCCAGTGTGTCTACGTCCTCAGGTGCTGGTGAGAATGCGCTCTCAGGTACCGCGTCGGCTTCGGCCTCCCTCACATTCACACTTTTTCGCCGCTTGGTCGGCCGGTTGCAGTCTCCCAGGCAGACCCCTCAGGGGGACCTGTCCTCTCACTTCTGTACTGTCCTCCCGTGTCCGGCTGCCCCCTCTGGTGCCTTGTCTGGCCTTTACCTCCCCTCGTTCTCTACGAACTTGGTGAGTGGTGCTGACCTACAGGATGCGGGGGCTCACCAGTTTACTCCTACGAGTGAGCGGGTGACCCACTTCTCGGACGCTCGCACATGCAGGCACCTGGCCACGTTTACGCGTCGGCCGGGGTCGAGCCTCTACACCCTGACCGCTGAGTCTCCTCCTGTCCCTGCGTCTGGTCAGGTAGCTGCGTCGGGTCAGGTGTTTGCTGCAGCGTCCAGGTCTCGTCCTGAGTCTGCCCCCTGCACGTGTCGCCTACTGTCTCACGAGACTCTCCTGTGGCACGACCGTCTTGGTCACCCCTCCCTGCCTCGTCTCCGAGGTATGGCTTCCCGTGTCCTTGTCTCTGGTCTTCCCTGGTCCCTCCCTCCACTTCCTCCGGGGCCTGGTCCTTCCTGCGTCCCCTGTTTCGAGGGGCGGCTCCGGGCTGCCCCTCACTCCTCTCAGTTTCCCCCGACAGAGGCCCCGTTGCAGACGCTTCACATGGACGTGTGGGGCCCGTCCCGCGTCCGTGGACAGGGTCACGAGCGCTACTTCTTGCTGGTGGTTGACGACTGCTCGCGTTACACCACAGTCTTCCCCTTGCGCAGCAAGGGCGATGTCACTGAGGTGTTGATTGACAGGATCCGCGCAGCTCGTCTCCAGCTC